ATACTTACTCCTTGAACATAGAAAATTCATCTTTTGGATTTTGAATGAATTCAAAATATGTAATCTTATGTTTTTTAGCTGAAATGGGCCATGTCTTACCATATCACTTAAATTTTTGAGTGATATTGGTGTATGATAGTATACTAGCAAAACTACTGTTTCGATTACGATAAAATTTAAACGAGACCTCCTCGGTCTATTAAGCTGTCGAATGAAAAAAAATGGCGGAAATATCGTATAATATACAAAAAAATACATCGCCGTCGAACATATAACCTCCTCCTTTTGGATTTAGAAGTCGTTTAAAAAGCGTTACGCTGCATAGAACTTTACCAATTTGAAAATTGATTGCGTTATCCAAGAAATAAACAAGATTTTAAAATAAAAAAAAAGAAAATTCAAGAAAGTTTTATTTCATGTTGTTTTATTTATTTCACGTTCACTGATTTCTTCGCGAACTGAATACCGATTTTCAAAATTTTGTTTTGTTTTTTTTTCATTTCAATATAGGTATCATCCAAATTTCAAGTCTTTACGACCAACGGCTTAGGCTGTACTTGGTCAGTTAAATATCTGGGCAAAAAATCTTTAAAGATTGGACCCATAAAAATTTGAAAATTCACATTAATGAATTTCTTAGCATGACCATATAACTATCACTTGAAAAGGAATTTGAATAGTCTTTGTAGTATTTTCCGAGTTTCAGTCGATTTTCGTTTCATTTACTTTTTTCTACTTAGGTCAATGCGCAAGCCATGCGAGGTCCTCAATCACAATCCATTAAAGCTGTCACCGACTGAAATCTAGGTATATACTTAATCTATTATATATAATAACAAGAGAACTAATCGAACCTGTATTTATTAAAACAATGTGTCGAGTTCATTTGAGCTAATGAATATTAGGCTAATGTGTACAGCCATAATATATAGAATAGAATAATTCTTTATTGTACAAAAACACCAATTATAGGTAACAATAATATAGAACAAATAGTACAATCGGCGGCCTTAACGCTAAGAAGCAATTTCTTCCAGGCAACCGTTACCGTTTGGAAAATTTTTATTTAAATCTAAATTAGGTAGTCTATGGTGTCTTAAATGTACATGATATAAACATACATACATAATTATCATACATAGGTACATAATTATCATATACTGTTAAAGTTGAGTCAAACAAGCAGTGGCGTGGCGGACTAACCTCATCGCCCTGAGGCGGCAATAGGTGCGGATCGAAAACTTTTTCTAACCTGGGCAGAAACTTTATATTGCGTTTACCGGGCATACATTTGGCTGGCAGCCCATTTGGAGGCCCCCCAGGTCCGGAGGCCCGGGCGAACACTTCGCGCCCCCCTCCCACGAGCATGCGAAAGCTTCGGTACCATTATCTATAAAAAAAAACGTTTATTGCATGGAAGCCCACATAAATATTTTTTTTTTCACTCTGTTTTAGTATTTTTTATATAATTTAATATAAAGCGGCACTAAAAATACATCTTCTGGGAATAATTCAACTGTCTATCTATCTCCATTCATAGATACAGCTTGGTGACAGACAGACGAACGGACGGCGGAGTCATATGGTCCCGATTTATGAAATATAACATATTTTTTTTTTCACATTACTAGAAATTATAATATAAAAAAGTAAAACTTTCAAAACCGTGAAAAATTATATCTTAAAGACAAACTCATATGTTTATGAAACTTTTATTGTAGTCTAACCTACGCCCAACTTCGATGGAAGTTGGAGATGAGTATTTATTTTATCACGTTTTGGAAATAAATTTTATGATTTCCAAAAAAAAATATGTATTATGCTTGTTGCCTTCGTTGGTACTTTTCATAAGCTTAAAAGACAACACAAGTATCTCAAACGGTTATGATAACTTTAAACATTACGTAATATATTGGATGGTAACATTATTAATACGCTGGGTAATGAATCGAATAATTATGAATGAACACACATACATGATATGAAACCGCATTAGTATACGTCATTATAAGTTCGTGGTAACAATGATAAGGATATAATTACAAAAGAGTTAGACTGTATGAACTACGATTACTACCATTTTTCTGATTATAATAGTATAAATATAATGCTAATTTTCACTTTTGTGGAATTCAACCGAAAAATAATCGTGATATTTTACGGTGATAATACTGTAACGGTGTGCCGTACCACCGTTTATTTTGTCCTAGGTTTCCGCATGCAAACTTTTTGTCTTTAAAATACTGTAACGGTGTGCCGTACCACCGTTTATTTTGTCCTAGGTTTCAGCATGCAAACTTTTTGTCTTTGAAATTCAATATAATTTCTTTTATTATTCACCTTTCGTAATTTGAAATTTTGACTAATCAAATATACTCTTTATGGATGTCAGTTCGTAAAAACATCTGGTAAACATGCAAATCAACATCATTATATGTTAAATTAAAATTTTAAAATAATTGTTAATAATGATTAATAGAGAAATTCATATAGAAATTATATAACATAGTAGTGTAATCTGTAACTTGGACGATCCAAGTTTTTATCAAGAAACCCAAAAAGGGGTATGTATTCCTTTTAGTAATTTAAATTTTATATTTAGTTTGACATATGAACTGTTTTTATATTCATTTTTTTGTTTGTTACAGTTTCTTTACTTTATTCTTTATACAATAATAAATCCATACTCAAGCTTGTCAGCCTTTCATTAATTGGCCTAAGCACCGAACCCGTCACAATACTTATAATATTCTGCGTTGATACTTAGAGACGTCCTATGATTTTATAAATAACTAGATATTTTCCGGCTACTTACCCTGCTTAAATTATAGCTCATGTCACCCCCGTATTATGTAGCTACCTGTAAGTGAAATAATTTTAAAATTCGGTCTAGAAGTTTCGGAGACAATTTGATGCAAACCAACAATCAAATCTTTCCTCTTTATAATATTAGTATAGAAAAAATATTTAATTCTTCTATAATAAAATTCTTCAATATCGTTTAACATCTATGTTGCAAATACACCCAATAGATGGCGCTGTGTTCTAGATGGCGTTTATTCTAAAGTAATCTGCGGTAACGTTTCTTTCAAAGAATTTTGCGTAGATTACGTATTCGATTAAGGTTTTTGTAAGCTTCAGAACTGTTTTTTTTTCATCTGTATTTCAAATTGGATTAATATATCTAAAGTTTCAAAGATAAAGTGCTAAAACATATTGGACATTTGTTGGTTTTTTTGTTGTACTATCTTCGAACTTAAACATCAAGGTAATTTCATCATTAGCTCAAAAAACAACAGCGTTTTTGGAAAATATATGTTGCCCAAAGTAACTATATCACTCGGACGAAGGCGCGGGCAAAAGCTAGTATTTGTATAAAATACCTATTTCATAACAATTATAAATAATAATTTAGTTCATGTCACTGGACTATTGGGCATTCGTATCATCACAGAATACGACTGTAATAAAATAATCTAAAAATCAATTGGCAATATAGAATTTAGAGGCACCATGCCATTCTATATACGGAGGCCATGTCCATAAACGTAAAGGAAGCGAGCAATGGACAACATGCTCCTAAAAAGGTACATCCATTGTTTTTATGTTAACTTAAATTCTATGCTGCCAGAATCAAAGAACAATAACGTATTATGCTACTAACATGTGTCGTTTGTAATAAATTTTTATAGAGACATTTCATTTTTATGATGTAATCTAATTAGGCATTCACTGTTATGTATTTAGATTACATTATGATAAAATGCTCTATAATATTAATATTATTAAATTTTGTTTCCGTTTATTTCTGTTCGGAGCAATTTTTTTCAGTGGATTGACAAATCTGTCATTACAAGCTCACGCGCACAAATGACTTGAACTTTTCTGTTTTTTTTTTATAATAAGTAATCATCTTAAAAAAAATAACGTAATAACATTTCTCAAAAATGCATAAATATTTTTTATTATTTAGCAAAAAAAATATCAGTGCATTTTTTATATTTATGAAGCTTTTTCGTAAAGTCATTATAAAATTTTAAAATTGATAATCCTAATTTTATTCATATATTAACATTTTATTTTACTTTACTAGTAGTGAACAAACTATATGGTAGGTATAATGACAAAAAAACGGTCATTGACCTCTGGGTACAGTATGTCTAAAGGACAACATACATCTCTTTCCTGTATGTGTTTTTTTAAATATCTACCTACGTATAAATTATCGGGCTAAAGAAAGAGAAAACTTATTCCACCATATGGACACATATAGTATATATGGATTAGTGGGTGAAAACGATTGCAGAAGCAGTCAAGACAGGCCTTCTGAAGCACGAAAGATCTTGAAGAGTACGGAGCTCGTCTACCATACTTTTCATTTCATTCTCAAGTTCTCAAAAGAACCTATAACTCTACATTTACTTAAATTATGTTTTGGGAGTCATAACTTAGATATTTTTTTTCTCGTTATATCTTAGGTCAATGTTATTATTCTTAGGGCATGAAATCGTACTCTTAAAAAACTAATATATTTGCAATTGTGTTGTATAATCATTTGAATGTTTCTTTAACGTATATGGGCGGTTCTAAAAAAAAACAAATGACGATGCACGTATTTGGACGTTCATTGGACAAATTTAACATTTTTGGGCCACTTCTGTATCTCAAATAAATACAAAACTAGGACCATGTGTCTGTAACATAATTATTTTATTTGTATAAAAATATTCTAATAAGAAATCATTAAATTAATTTAATGTTTATACGACAGTAGCTGAATGCAGAGTATTTATTATTATATGTATCTATAAATATCTATCTCTAGTAAATATTTGTTCACTCCCGACATTAACGAAAATTTTGTATAATTATATCAATGTTTAAAAGATAAAAACATCCACATAAGACTATCTTAACATTGTCACCATTATATAATTATAATATACCCGATTTATTTAGTAAACTATTTATTGAGTACCAGGATCGCCGTAAGCTCTAGCAGTCCTACGGAATTCGCTCGCGGTGCGCCCGTGTCGCAACCAACTGCGTAGCCTGTGTGGCTGAACGACGTTCGAAGTGTATTCGATTTTCAAATGTAAATAAAAAAAGAACTGTTGTTTAAAAAATACTAGTGGTTTACACATCGACTGATTTTGAATGCGGAATTTGAATTAGGTGAGATTTTTTTTTTCTTTGACAAAAACTTTTTTATCTATTCTCAACTTAATCCAAACTTTTTACTTACGTTTTGAATAAAATAGAGTAAGAGTTGCTAAACCTAAGTGAACGTAGTTGAAAAATATTATTAGCCGACTAATAATATGTTTATTGACGCAACAAGTTGTTATAAATAAAACAAAGGAAAGCACTTAAGACTTCAATGTTCTCTTGTTATTAAATAACTACCTAACTCTGACGTAGACACTGAATATGAATTGGAAGGTTTATTTTCAATACACCAATATTGTGAAAGTGGTTCGCGTAAACAATTTAATGGTTTTTTTTTTGCTCTCTTATTTTGCAGTTTAGATAAATATATTCGTTATATTAATAATTCAACATATAAGAAAAAATCAATAAAGAAGTCAACTTAAATATAAAAATATATAATTATTCTTTAAGTGAAATCTGCCGTTTTATAACGTTATCTAATATTATATTTTATATTAAAAAATGCTTAAAACAAAAACTATGCCAGCCTATTTTTTTAAGTAGATACCTGTTTATTATTAAGATAATTAGCCAGATACTAAAGTTATGGTTTATATTTATTGTGTCCATGATGAATATCTTCACGACGCATTTTAACACTTTTAACTTAATATAACCGTTTTACAAATAAACAGCTACATTGCAACTGATAGAAGTCTGTTTAATCTATATTATTTAATCTATATGATTGCTATCAATCACCGAATTCCAGAGTTATTTCAAAATTATCGTTCTACGTTGACCTGGGTATTCAACCGGGAAGACATATATTGTAACATAATCGAAACTGCAGTGTTACTCGGATAAAGAGTTCGTAATAAAACTTATTTAAGACACTTACTTATTTAAAAAATAGTAAGCATTGTATGTCAGCTTCAAGTAGATACGTACATACTAAAATTCAAATTAGGAAGCGTCGGTCAATATTTATTTTCAAAGATCACGTCATACAAGGGATGCCAAAGAAAACAAATTTCCCGAGTGCCAGTGGTAGGAGAAAATTTCAGGACATCTATCAGCTTTCCCGTTTTTATTACTCCGCGGTTTGAATGCCAGGAAAAGAATTTACCGAAATGTCGGCAATTGCTTTCACTTTCAAGACGGAATTTGGTAATGGGCATCGTTGATAGAAGACGAGTCTTAAATTTTTAGAGTTCTGTAGTTAAACAGTTTCAACAACCTAAGGTCACTTGCTTTGATTTAATTTTAAACATGAAAATATAGTACAAATTAGCTATAATTGAAAATGAGAAAACTGCATCATATGTCCAAGAGTTGATGACAGTAAACGAGTATGGAATATAATCCCAAAAGTAAAATTCAGTCTTCGATCATTCCTAATAGGGGATAATTTGCATCTACGAGTTTCGTAGAATTCGCATGACTTGTTTTAAAATGTATCAAAATTTCAATAAAGAATTTCACTTTTCCATTTTATATATAGGTACTATTTCATATTAGATTATTTTTCTATGCTCTTTTTGCGAAGAGACGAATAGACAAAATTTCTCTATAAAAAAATATTAAGTCACCTTTATAATTCATCATTAATTTTCAATTCATCCTATCGTAATTTCACACTTATTTAAAGAAAAATATTTACGGTAGTTACGGGTTTAACGTAATTCAATTACGCAACATACAAAAAAAAATGTATTTAGTTATATGGTATCATAAACCTATCGCACCAGTGGTATTCTGTTAAAAAAAATAGCGTCGAACACAGCGCTGTAAGAATTAGAGGTTCGATGAAATAAAACCCATTCCAAAATGTAATGAAGGTTTATTTTCCTTGAATACTCTGCATACCCTTGACAAGTAATATTTATTTATTTCTTAATGCATAGTAGCCCCTAATGGCTTAGGCATTGTGTCCCAGTCAATTTTAGAGAGCTGTGGGGAAACCGATGAGGGAGGACAATTAAAAAATTCTTGACAAATATGTATTTTGAAATAGAAAATACGTTTCTCAAATTGGTTAGACCATTCGTTCTCTTAAATCGTTACTTCTTAAACCCAAAAATGCTCAAAGACGATACCTACGAAATTCGTTGACTCAGCAAATTCGAAGACGGAAAAAAGGCAGTTTTCTATCGAAAATTGAATTGCCTGAAAATAAGCGGGATTTCAAACATATATTGGATTAAGACTTTGTCAATAGATGATATATATTTTCTTAATAAATTCATAATTTTAACAGGTGGAGGACAATAAAATCTTTAAATAAATGAACTTACAATTAAAATCCATGAATATAGGACGCGCCACGAAGATCCAATGTTGCCATTCAAAATATATAAATACTTCCATTCTTAATTTCCTTTGATGAGAATAGCTGTTAATTACTTTTTTATACTATGGTTATTACAAAGAGATAGGGAATATAAAGTAAAAATAAAAGTTTATTGCTTTTAAAAATAACATAGTGAGTCTCGAGCGGTCAACCTCACGTTTCTTACTATTGACTTAATTTATAAATACCTACAAAAAACAGTCTATCATTACAAATGAATTTGAGTATATTCATTGAAAAAAGAAAAAACAATATAAGAAAAAAATCTTAAAACAAAAATGCTTTAAAAATACTTTAGGTTAGAAAAGAAATTTTCTTAATTCATTTAAATCAAAATAAATGTCTTCTGCAACTTCCCTTACCCTTTTTTTGGTGAAAAAAAAAAAACACTCATAACTTTCTATTATCAGCTTAATCAATATGAATGATCTCAGGTAACCATAATAAGGTGAGGTGGTAAAATAATATACGATATTATTTACGGAAAGTATTTCGCTGACTTAACTAGTCAGCGTTATCCTATTATTTCCTATTTATATTATAAATGTGAAAGTTTCTTTGTTTGGATGTTTGTCCGTCAATCACGCCGAAACTACTGAACGGATTTTGATGAAATTTGCTATACAGATGGCTGACTTAGATAATAAGATACATTTTGTCCCACTAAATAGTTCTCTAAGGACTACGTGGGTGAAGTCGCTGGCGGAAAGCTAGTACATAAATAATGTTGACTAATAAATTAACTGAAAATCTACTATATTTTGTCGTGGGCACTATCACGGCATCATCACCAGCCTATTAATATTCCCATTGCTGGGGTTCTGGCCTTACCTATGGATGGAATCGAATTAAATCCTTATGGTGACGGTCCAGTCTTCGTATTCGATTTAAAGCGAGCCCAGTGTAGATTGGTGGGTGTATTGCAGATGCAACCGGGACCAATGGCTTAACGTGCCTCCTGAAACACGGAGGAACTCGATAAAATAATTTTTTGGTCACCCATTCTATGACTGGCCCTAGCGAGCGATTAGCGATTTGCTTAACAACCGTATCTCGTAGCGAGCGCGCTAACCACTGCGCCAAAGAGCTCCTCACGGACACTGTCGCGGAATAAAAGGTAATTGATCTTTTGCGTAAAGGGAACGAATAATCTTATTCAAAATCTTAAGTAAAGTTCTATTATAAAGCAAACACTAACAGTAGTATCAGTATTAGACCAAAACCACTCAACACGTCTCATTTTGACATTTTCTATTCTGTCACTGTCATTCTGTCATTAGGTAGGAGTCAATGGTTTAAACTAAGTACTAAGTTTAGTCCATAGAATAATAGTTGGTTTAGTCCTCGTTTTATAAAAAAGCGTTTTTATATGAAATATGAAAAAAGATATGCGCGGTGCAGGGCGGGACGAACAAAATATAAACGAAGCATTAACCGCAGGGATGTCTTACAAAGGTATCTATTATTTACATTCAGTAGGCACGTTGAGTTCATATAAATTTAATAAACAACAGCACTAATATTACTCTCACGTGAATAGACAGAAAAATAAATTCAATAAATGTTTCAGTAGTTTATTGGCACGACAACTATATACCTAAATATCACAGAAGACAAAATATTTTAAAAATAAATGAAACGTATACACACGCACGTGCGTGCACACACACTAATACACAAGCTCTATCTGAAGATCAGCGCTACTAAGATGTCACAGTAGTAGCGTAGTAAAGTATGCTGAGACAGGTATATAATTTCTGTATTTTAATTACACTGTAAATATTAAATGCGTTATTATAAGTATGGGTTCTAATTTATGATAACAGGTTTAAAAAGAATATAACTTACTTACGAAAGATATTTTATTTGGCCTTCTTTCACTGAAAAACAGAGAGCATCAAGTACCCAATACAATTTATGGCTCGCATTTTACCTTTTCTCGTTGTTAATTAATCAAAAGCCTACATTCTTTCGTTATTTATAATAAGAAAAGGTTAACCCATAACTTATTTTCGAGCTAAATAATTGTTCATAATTTCTTTTTAATAATAAACGGAATATATATATTTTGCGAATTACATTTTCATCATTTGATCAATTGTAATCTTGATAATGTCTCAAGCACATAGGTATATACCTGTTATACTTATTATGTATATGTGCTTAAGATATCTATATAAAATCAATTGCTGTTCGTTTGTCTTTAAAATGTTTATCAAAATCCAGGGATGGTTTAAACGGTGACAGGTGATAAATATAAGGTATTATATTAATTTAGACTTTACAAAACTCTCGTTCTTTATTTAATTTATACCATAATTTGCCTAAGGTAGACTTCAAAATTAAATGTAAAAAATTGATACAGTGTGATAGCCTGGATGCTGTCGTATACTTTTATATGAAGTTTTCAGAGTTCAATACCTTAAAAAATTTGCATAAGTAGAAGTGTCTCGTTTAAAAAAATACACATTAAGTAATTTTAATAATAAATAATAGTACGTGTATTCAATAATATACACTCGCAAGCCCAGATAAATATATTTTTGTACTGACAAGGTTATTATTACCGTCAAAATAAAGCCTCAATGCCATTACCATCGGATTTCGCAACATCTGTACTTAATAATAGACTACAAAAACTGCTACATACGATTGAAAATTAATTGTTACT